ATGGAAGTAGTAAGATGAGATAATGACGGAAATTTTTTATAGAATCGATCAATACCGACCCTTGGAAGAATAAAACATACACCTTCCTTTCGCATTCTTTATTCTAGTTCTAACATTGCAAGCATGATTATATAATAAAGAAAGTTTTTCCATTGTCGAAAAATAATTAAAACTGACTGAATTATTTCGTCTTTAAAGAATTGATTTTTATCATAATTCTTTTAAACTGTTTATTTATCATTATCACTAATTATATAATTTCCATGATCGACTTTGTGTTCCATAATTGTTTGAGATGATATTTTAGAGAACCAGTTTATGAAAGTCGGAAAAACAAATATTAAGAGGAGATTTCTTTGTACATAACACCCGGAATATGAAATTCTTTTGTGGTCCTTGTAAGTACAATTTGTGTCACATTGGTTATTTGTGAATGTAGATAGCAATTTTGGTTGATCAATAAAAATGCATTTACCGTTATTTTACATTTTCTCCGAATTTAGTAGAGTGTCTCTCCAGGCCCAATACTATTTTTGAGGGCCCAATATTATTCAACAGCGTGTTGGCACATCTTTGGTTAATCAAATACGACCGTTAAATCTGGATGTGGATTCCTCTAATCAGAAGAAACCTTGGTTTTGTTTATCGCCAATGGTGATTTTATCCCTCCTTACTTGTTCCGTTTCCCTTTTCTCGCCGCCGACTAATCTTCGGCTTCATCTCCCGCCGGTTACAGCTCTCTGTTCCCATGGAAGCGTCCCTGCTTCTACATTTAAGACTGAGCTACAGCCATTGCTTGTTCGCTGCATAGATCGTCGGGAATCTGGTCTTGTTTTCCGATGTAATTGCCTTAATTCTCCGATTGACTCTGCAAGTCAAATGGGTAAGTGAATTTGGTGCTTCTCTGCTCGTATCCATATGCATTGTTTTCTCTGAGGCATATTCGCAAACACTTGGTGTCCTTTTATTTTTGCTTTGCAGAGTCTCTGTTTTCGTTGTTCCGAGATATTGGGTTTAAAGAAGAAGAAACTGAGATGATTATGACGAAGAACCCAGATATAAAGTCGACGTCTTTGGTTAAAATCGGTACTCGTGTTGCTGCTCTTCAGTCTCTGAAAATCAATAACTTTGCGCTTCAGGGTTTGATTGCAAAATGCCCTAATCTATTGACTTCGGAGGAATTGGATCTCGTTATTGAATTCTTGCTTGTTGAACTCGAAGGAAGGCTTGATCCTGAACTAGTTGAGCGTCTACTCGCTGTGGTAGACACATCTTTCTTGCTTAGTTTCAATCAGAAGGTGAGATTGCTTATCCACCATGGTATACCAAAAGAAAAGATCTCTCACGTCTTGAACAAAGTATACTTGAATAAACTACTGTATCAGAAATCCGTTGAAGACATTGAGAGACTGATTAGTTACTTGGAACCTTTTGGTGGAATCGGTATAATTGCGAGGCGGCCAGTCATTCTCAACAGTGACTTGGATACTCAGTTGATTCCTAGGGTTGAATTCATCAGGAATCTTAGCGGGGAAGACGATTTCGCCACTGGAACTGTGCTACGTAGACTCCCTGCCATATTGAGTTACAGCGTTGAGCATATGAACAGCCACGTCGAGTTCCTCAAGTCTTTTGCTGGCTTGACGAGCCAACAAGTGTTTAAGATTGTTCATGTGTTCCCTAATGTTATCAGCACCAGTAAAGAGAGGAAACTTCGCCCCAGGTTAGAGTTTCTGAAGGAATGCGGCTTTGATTCCCCTGGCATCTTCAAATTCTTGAGTAAAGCACCGTTGTTTCTAGCTCTATCCGAAGATAACCTCTCGCACAAACTCGGGTTTCTGGTGAAGATTGGATATAAGCATAGAACAAAGGAACTGGCGTTTGCAATGGGAGCAGTGACCAGAACAAGCTCTGACAATATGCAGAAGGTAATTGGACTGTACTTGAGTTACGGTCTTTCGTTCGAAGACATTCTAGCTATGGGCACAAAGCATCCTCCAGTTCTGCAGTATAATCATAGTTCTTTAGAGGAAAAACTGGAGTATTTGATCGAGTACATGGGTCGTGAAGTCGAAGAGCTTCTTGCATTCCCTGCATTTCTTGGATACAAGCTTGATAGCAGGATCAAGCATCGGTATGAAGAAAAGTTGAAGAGCAGAGGTGAAAACATGTCTCTTAACAAACTTTTGACAGTATCAGCTGAAAGATTCTCTATGACTGCGGATAAAATTGAAGTTATTTGTTTATGATTGAGTGACAGTAGTTTGAAATATGAGAGAACTCACAATGGTCTAAAAGCTGAGAGATTTTGTAACACAGTTTCTCACTCAGATATCAAGATTAATACTTTACGTGCCTCGGTTTTATATACTTGAGCTAAGATTTTTGTGTGTATATATGCCGTAATGTTCTTGGGTGTTGTATATGGTCCGCGATGGACTGCTTACAACGGGGATAGTCACTGTCACGTGCATGCATCTTTGCGGTGGTTTAAGAGTAGAGCGTGCATATCTCTCTCTATCTCTCTCACAGTGGGAACCAAAACTTAAAAAAAGTACATACAAAGACCACTTCCAAGTTCCTTCCACTTCGTCTTCAAACCAAACATCAGTACATTACACATTTACACACTTATGCTTTTCACGTTTTATTAGTATTTTTCAAAATGAATCCAATATGTACATGACTACATGTTAAATTCTGTAATTAGAAAACCAAAAAGTAACTAATTTACAAAAACTAAAGTTTTTTTTATCCATTAGATTTTTTTTTTAACATTCGAATATTTCAGCTATTCTCTCGTTCAACTATTCATCTGACCTTATTATCACCAGAGTTTGCCACTTCTATTACATGGATTCACATAAGTTTAGAGAGGGCGTTAAATTAACTAAGTAGGCCTTGGCCCAATATTTATATACATCGGTACTTTAATTTGAAGAGTAATCACGTTATATATATAACTCCGAAGAAGCAACATTGGTACTTGAACAGGATCAGTTCTATGGAGGATACCTCTGTATCCTTGATTTCTAAGGAGACAAGCCCTTAACCCTGGTTGATGAACCATGACCGTGCAATCAGAGCGTGATTAACGGCAACAATCATCTCTTAGATGTATCCAGTGCTGTAGAGGATCGTTACTCGGCTTGGTCTGTTCCTTGCCGGGGAGGTCGCACGGCGGTCCTGACAGTGTCCCTTTTTGTTGTTGTACTTTTCTAAAAGCCTACTTTCAGAAGAAATCTTGTTATGAATCTTACAGAGAACTAAATCCTCTAAACACTTGCTCTGTTTCTAAAAACCTACTTTCAGTAGAACTAGAGAATATAACTTGTTTGACGAAATGTCTCATTGTTGATGATAAAACCTGGAAATAAATCAACCACCCGTTTAGGTGAATATCTTCTATGACTGATTGGAATTAAAAAAACTCTCCTAGTATTGGAGATTGAAGCCATAATACTAAATGACAATACGCACTAAAAAGTCAACGCAATCAAGAG